GATTTCCAGCTAAGCATCTCCGTACTTGTTCTTGTTCTGTTTAGCGAACTACGAACGATACTGGTTTTCTAGCTTTGTTAATGCGATATGGACGAACAATAATGTTTCTGACTGATAGTGATGAGCCCTGCTTCACCGCTAAATATAATTAATTGTTATAATAAGACAGGATTAGGTCATATATATAGATGTTCATGTAGGCTACTTCTTCCTCAAGTAACTGTTATCAAGAAAATATTGAATTAGCTGGCTAAGCTCCATCGAAAGACCCCAATAAATTTTGAACTTGCAGGTGGTTATCAATTTTTTTAATTTACTTGATTATTAAAAAAAGTTTAAATTATTTTCATTTATTAATAATTATTTTTATTTGTAAATGTTACAATATTATTAACAATACATTATATTTTATTAATTTAAAATTTATTTAATAGTTTAATATAAGTATTATTAATATACAATTTAAAAGATATTCTAAAATTGACTTTTCAAAAACTCAAGTTTTACCAAATTAAATAGGAATCAAATTCCCAAACATAAGACATTAACATAATCCAAAACCAAGAACTGCTCGTTCACGTGTGATAGTGATTATGAGTAATGGTTGAGCAGGATCCTTATATATAATTTGTTAATAATTAATCAGTAATTTTCATATTAGGGGCACCAAAGTTAGGTTATGTTAAAATGAAAAGCTCCCAATACAGTTTACATTCTGAGATATTAATAGGTAAGGGAAATATGTTACTCAACTCAATCATAATAAACAAAAGCAGAAAACTCTCTCTCTCTCTCTCTATATATATATATATATATATTGTAGACACGTTATTTCATCCCATCTCACATTCATTCATATATTACATTTATTTATTTATTTATTTTTATTACATGTTTCAGTCCTAAACAGATGGCCCAGGCCCAATACCAATGAGTCCAGCAAATTCATGTGTGACCCAGCCAAGACCCAAACCCGTGCAGACTTAGGGTTTCCAAAAAACCTAGTGTCGCATGCCAAGCCCCGTCCATCAGCGCCGCAACTGTCCCCGTGCGAGAATCCTCGTGTCCCACGTCTCACCATGAGCCTATCCCCGGTTATCTCGACACCAGTTCCCGATCCCCTCGGCGCAAGAAAAGCACACGTAAACACATGAGATACAAGCAAAGTAACGTGCATTAGTGGGACTCCAAACAACCAAACCGAGTCTTACTCGGATTCAATCTCTAAGGATAGTTTATTTCTTATACTATAAATAAGATGTAATCCCCATTGTATTTGGGGGGTACACGGTGAATATACGGAAACACACACAAACACACAAGTTTGTACACGATTACGAGGGAAATCAACAGCAAACCGCAAATACTCAAAGCACTTGTAATATCCGAAAGCAAGAAAGAAATAAAGGTAGCTTTTTTTACCTCGTTTGGTCCCTCTTTGCATGCGAGTGTAGATCCTTTTCTTTATTTTCGTCTCCTTATTCAGACGGCCGATGACCCGGGGAGGGGTATTTCGAGTGGATCTATTCTAGATCTACCCTCCCGAGGCCTCCTTTTCACAAAATCAGTATGTTTTTTTAAACGAGGGTACAAAGACATCTCGGCAAAATGAAAAATTTTGATTTTTGCCGTCGATGAACGGCGGCCAGGGGCCGTTCAACGACGGCGGCGAGACGGCTTGAGGCGGCGCAGGACCATTTTCTGGAAACGAACGGTGGTGTGTTCATCTGTTGGATGAACAAAAGAGAGAGTTTGAGTGAGGGAGAGGGGCTCTCGACGAGAGAAGAAGAGAGAAATTAAACCTTAAAAAAATGTTTGAGTCATATAGTGAGCCCACGGATCGACTCATAACCCAACCCAAACAGCTTTAGATCCGCGTGTTTTTTAATAAAATTGGGTAAATCACTCTTTCGGTCCCCTGCTGTGTTAAAAGGTCCCATTTTCGTCCCTAAATTCATTTTAGTCTTGGCCCGTAATTTCTATTTTCTTTTAATTTGGACATCTAATTCTTTTTCTTATTTAATTCGACCCTTATTACTTTTTTTATATATATATACATATTTTATTATTACTTAATTATTTTTATTTATTAATCTTATTATATGTATATGTATATTTTTCATTTTATTGATTTTCCTATTATCTTTACCTTTGTTATTATTATTTATATTATATTTTATTATATATTTCATGTCATTATTTATATATAGGTATGTAAATGTATTATTATTTATTTACTACGCTTTTTATTATTATATTTTGTTCTATACGTTTTTAACTTTATTTTAATTTCCTACTATTATCTTACTAATATTATATCTTTATATATATATATCTATTTGTATTTTATTATCCCCTAGGCCTTTTTTTTTTGTCTGCATGTACTATTGTTTTTTTTCTTTTTGACTAAATTCTTCATTTTGTTTGTTTCGGTAAGGTGGTAGTTTAAGTCAGTAGGTTAGGTTTTTTCTCTTCTCCTATTTGATCTTTGAATTTATATGTTTAATTTTGTGCATGTTGTACGCTTTAATCTACTCCCCATTGGCATGTGATTATTTTTGTTTCCTGGAATGCTTGTCTTTGTCTTCATTATTATTTTAAAATCTTGTAGATGTTTAAGGTCCCATTTAGGATTTGGTTTGAATGTTAGAGTTGTGATTTACTTTATTTGTTTTTTTCCTCTCTTATATTTTCTTGGATTTATTTATTTATTTATTTATTTATGCTTCTTCCCTTTGATTTATTTAATGTTCATTTACTATTATTATTTTTATCTAACATTTTCGACCTTTTTAATAAAAGTTTCAACCAATCAGAGGTAAGTTTAGGGATCGCTATTTTACCTTTTAATTTAAAGTTACAATTTTTCTTAATTAAGACAATTGGAAATTATGTAGTACCGAAAGGGCGGTTCAAGGGTGCTAATCCTTCCTTGACCGTAACCGACTCCCGAGCCCGACATATTTCTGGTAAGACGCAGAACAGGTAAGAAATAGGGTATCCGATCAACCCATTTATTTTTAAATAAATGATCGGTGGTGACTCCTAATTCATTTAATCCAAGTCGAAGCCCGATTCTGGGGCCCAATCGAAAGACGATTGCGACAGCTTGGCGACTCCGCTGGGGACACAGGTAAGCGAGTCAGGCTAAGGTAATTTCCAGTTGTCTTTTTAATGAAAAGGGTAAGTTTGAACTTTAAGGTAACATTTCGATCCTTATTACTTACTTTTGGTTATATTTTTTCGAGTAAATAGTTGGACTGACCGTTTTCTAATGATTTCAGCTTTCCAAACTTTTTCATCCAAAGGCTCTATACCCGAGCTCCGAACCCTTTAAGTGGGGGTGAAAGCGACGCATTCATGTGAATTTATTCACCGCATATGCCTAACAAGTAGCCTTCGGGATTCATATACCTTATGTCTTCGTGTGAATTTATTCTCCGCATAGACATAAGGGAATGTGTCCCCTCGAGTTTAACTTAGTCCACACAAGCCTGTGATGGGTTTAGGACTAAGGGTCTGGTAAGCCCAAGGGGGCACCGGCAAGGAGGACTCGAGTACCGTTTTAGAACCTAAACCGGGAGACTTTTGAAGAAATAGAGCCTACCCCAAAACCACATTCCAAAACCTAGGACATTGTTTACCTAACCATGTTTTTTCCCTATGTTTTTTTCCTTGCCATTTTTTTCTTTTTTTTCATTTATTTATTTATCTCTACTTTTACTAACTTTTTGCCTTTGTGTTTGTTTTTTAGCATTTGCATCATAACGAGAGGCCATTGATCCCTAAAAAGACATTCATTACGCATAAAGTAATCTGAATTAATGGATAAAGGTGTTGTAATACAAGAGATTAAAAACCCCGAGGTACGACTATGGTCCGAGAAGACTCAGAAGGAAAAGGGAGACAGTCTTCAAAGCAGCTATGTGTCAGAGCTGGTTAGCTACGCCTCGATCAGCCTAAAGCAGAATGACGTGCAAGAGCTTCGGGACATCTGGGACGGTTGGAAGAATGAGGTGAAACAGAAGTTCCGCCAACGGTACGGTGATGTTGCACTTTTACTTCATGTTAAGACTGATGAGCCCCTAATCAGAGCCTTGGTTCAATTCTGGAATCCGGGATACAGTTGCTTCACCTTTAACCGGGAAGACATGGTACCCACCATAGAAGAGTACACTACACTGCTGCATTGTGAAAACATCAAACGCGAGCGGGCCTACCTTAAGCACATTAAAAGTCAACCTTTCAAAAATGCACTAGCTAAGGTTGCCGGAGTTGATGAAAAATGGGTAACTGACCGAGCTCGATGTAAGGGTAATGGAGAAGGAATCGCTTGGCTTCATATCAATCAACTGATGAAGCACCATCCCGATGAGTGGAAGACAATAGACCTGTTTGCATTAGGTCTGTATGGTCTAATTATATTCCCAAAGACCTTGGGATACATCGATGCCACCGTAGTGGAACTGTTTGAGCAACTCTCGAAACGAGTTAACCCAGCACCAGCCATCTTGGCTGAGACCTTTCGATCTCTCAATCATTGCCGAAGAACTGGCGGAGGAAGATTCACCGGGTGTATTCAGCTCCTTCAGGTCTGGATTCACAGCCACTTCTGGAAGACTAACGGGGTTGCCTACCGCCGTTTCAGCACCACCTATTCACCTCTAGGTGAATTCATCACCTTGAAATGGCTTGAAGGCGCTTCGAAGGAAAAATGGATGAAGGTCTTTACACATCTTCAGGACCGAGATATTGTCTGGAGAGCCCCCTAGTTATTCCTCAGTGATGTTCTTTTTCGATGTGGTGACTCCGACACTGTGACCTTACTTGGACTTTGGGGAGCAGTCGGGTATACTCCGTTATTAGCACTTAGACAATATGGGGCACATCAGTTTGTCCCAGCGACATATGGACTAGCTAGGTCAGAGTTTGAGTATCACGGTGACAGCTATAAGAAGATGATCAAGGAAGTAGCTGATTCATGGAGGAAAGTATTCCGGATGGATGTTGTAGCTGCCAGAAGTATGCTTACTCCTGATTATGTGGAGTGGCGAAGGTTAAGGAAAAATGACAATATTCCGGTACCAGACTATGAAGACACCCGTACCATAGAGGAACATCTCATGCATGTCCCTTCTGAACTCGAGATAGCCAAGACCGAGTTTGAAGCTGTGAATAATGAGCTAAAGCAGATGATAAGAGAACTTGAAGCTGAACGTTATCAGTGGAAGCTTGATGCTGACTCTCAGAAAGATCGAGCAGATAAGCTGGAAAGAGAACAGAAAAGGGCCCGCTTTGAGCTCGAAGACCTGAGAAAGGGGTATCAAGATAAGGTCAAGGATAACTCCAAGTTGAAGGTAACCTCTGAATACTGGAAAGACGAAGCTCATAGCCTGAAAAGGAAGTTCGATGGGCCTGATGAGAGAGCTTGGAAAGAACAAACGAAGACTGCCCAAAGACGCTTGGCAGATAGTCAATATCAGAACCAGCGCTTGAGAGTTCGGGTAGCTGACTTAGAGAAACAGCATGAGAAAAATGGCAAGATGATAGCTGAGTTGGAAGATGTTGTAGATGGGTTCAAGAGGCAAGCAAACGAGCTTCAGATAGTGCCTTTCGATGGAGGATTACAATGGCGTTTCCGTTGGGAGCAAGCACAGCGAAGGGTGAGGGCCCGAGATGCAACCATCCGAGATTTCCTGGATCAAGTGGAAAAAGCAGCCCGTCATCTTCACGGCCTAGCAAGGGAAGCTGGAGTGGTTCGACAAGGCATTCAACCAGTAACAGATGAAGGCAGAAGACTCGTCAACCTACTGGAAGCCATTCGGGGTCTAGAGGATTTAGTCCGAATGTATCTTTAATTTGTTTTTATGTCTCTAAAAAGATAAAACATTTTTGTCTGAATAAGGATTATTTATAATAATGAACACTTTTCTGGATCAATGCCTCCAATTGCATACATCATACATTGCATTTCTTGCATTTTATATTTCATGTTTGTTTATTTTATATTTTCCATGTTTTTACATTCGTATTAACTAACAGAACATGTCTCAGACACCGAGCTTACCACCGCAAGCATCAGATACACATCACCCGCACAATACTCGAGTAAAAAAGAGACAAATGGAAGCCAGAATGGAGAAGATCGAAGAGAACATGGCAAGACTTCAAAAGGAATTAGAAGATAAGATGGCTCAGAACAGTGAAAGTACTCTGGAGTCCATAAAGAAAAATCAGAAGTCCTTGGTCGACCAAATCGTAGCCAAGTTGTCGGGTCTACAACAAGCTAGTGCATCAGGGGGCATTTCTTCCGAGGGGGTGGCCATACCACCAACCCCGCAAGTGGTTATCTCACCCGGAATATTACCCGGGGACGCATCTGCTACTAAAGGGAAAGCAGCACTACCCGGGGACTCATTCGTTACCAAAACGAAAGTTGCACCTGCTGTGAAGATACAAACTTCTACGATCATCCGGATGATTATCATGTCCCAGACTTTGATGAGGAAGATAAAGCCAAAAAGATAGAAGAAAAGATAAAAATATTAGAAGATCAAATAAAGATGGTCCAGGGAGACCATGATTATTATGGAGTGGACGCAATGGAGCTGAGCCTAGTTCCAGACTTGGTGCTTCCACCAAAGTTTAAAGTTCCTGAGTTTGAGAAGTTCGACGGGAACAGCTGCCCTTCAGCCCATATCACTATGTTCTGTCGAAAGATGACAAGATATGGCGGGAATGACCAACTCCTGATCCATTGCTTTCAGGAGAGCCTGTCCGGTTCAGCTATTCGGTGGTACAACCAGCTTAGTCAAACTCATATCAAGACGTAGAAAGACTTAGCCAAGTCTTTCTTGGAGCAGTATAAGCATATCAACGATATGAGACTAGACCGGGTTATGTTACAAAGTCTAGAGAAGAAACACAATGGGAGTTTCCGACAGTACGCACAGAGATGGAGGGATTTATCTGTGCAAGTTCATCCACCCTTGGATGAAAAGGAAACTAGAAAGTTGTTTGTACAGACCTTGAAGGCACCTTACTTCGGGCACTTGGTAGCAATCACGTCGGGAAGTTTCTCAGATTTAGTCATGGCCGGTGAAATGATCGAGTTGGCCATTAAACAAGGAAAGATTGAGGGAGGAGACTCCAGTAAAAAACCTCCCGTGAAAAACAAAGAGCGAGAGATCAACAATGTAAACACCTACAACGTCAGCAAGGGGGTTACGATCTCAAGCTCAAATTACACAGCAACTGTGCCATCCGGTACTTCTAGACAGAATCAGAGAGAACCAAGAAGGGAAAGGGAAAGAGAGCAGTTCGAACCCATTCCCATGACATATAAAGAATTATACCAACAGCTCTTCGACACTCATGCAGTGTCACCTTATCCTATGAATCCAATAAGTCCCCCTTACCCGAAATGGTATGATGAGAGCGCTCACTGCGAATACCATGGCGGTGTGCAGGGGCATTCGATTGAAAGTTGTCTCGCATTCAAGAGACTTGTGCAACGAATGCGGAACAAGAATTGGATCACTTTCAACTCCGGAGCACCAAACGTCACCCAGAATCCCTTACCCAATCATCAGGAGACAGGAATCAATGCCATTACTACTGAAGGGGGCAGGAGAATTAAATCAAGTGTTTCGAAAATTAAATCTCCTTTGGCTTGGGTATGGAGCCAAATGGTAAAGGCAGGATTTCTTGCACCATATCCAGATACGACAGAAAATGAAGATGGTAACCATTGTTGTTACCACAACAAAGAAGGGCATAAAGTGCAAGATTGCCCAGAGTTCAGATTGTTAGTCCAACTCATGATGGATCGGAAGGAGCTGGAGTTTTACGAAGAAATTCAAGAGTCCTTGGAAGCAGATGTTTGTGCCACTGGAGAATCATCAGACAGAAGATTTGGTAGGGGTAGTCCTTTGATAATTACCCCTAAGGCAAGCATGACAGTAACAACACCAGCCAAGGTGGTAATCTCAGCACCTCGGCCTTTTCAATATAAGGACAATCGGCAAGTGCCATGGAAGTACGAATGTCAGGTGAGTACTTCCGGAGGATGTAATAGCAAAGTGGGGCAAAGGCCACTTGAGCCGTTCAAAGAAGATGTGCTAGTTGTCAATGAACCTATAAAGGAGGAAGAAGCTAAAGAGTTCCTCAAGATCTTGAAGCACAGCGAGTACAACATTGTAGAACAGCTCCACAACTTACCTACACGTACTTCAATGCTAGCACTATTTTTAAGCTCAGAAGCACACCGAGAAGCACTGTTGAATGTCCTTAATCAAATGTTCATGCCACAAGACATACCAGTCAGTAAGATGGATCGACTGGTGAATAATATTCAAGCTGATAATCTCATCTCGTTTTCAGATGATGAGATTCCATCTGGAGGAAGAGGCTAAACAAAGGCATTACACATTACTACCTACTGTAAGGGGCATGCTTTACCAAGTGTCTTAATCGATAATGGTTCGGCCCTGAACGTGATGCCTTCGATTACATTGAAGAGGCTACCAATAGATACCTCTCATATGAGAGCTTGTCAGAATGTGGTCCGAGCATTTGATGGGACCAAAAGAGAGGTAATCAGAAAGATCGAGGTACCATTGACCATCGGACCAGCCACCTATGATGTTGAGTTCCTTGTGATGGATATCATGCCATCCTATAGCTGTCTTTTGGGAAGGCCGTGGATTCATCAAGCAGGTGTAGTACCCTCCACGTTGCGCCAAAAAGTTAAATTTGTTATTGACGGGACCTTAGTAATTATCAACGCTGAGGAAGATATCGTGGCAAGCGTGACCACAGAGGCTCCATACATCGAAGTAAACGAGGAAGCGGTAGAATGTTCGTTCCGCTCCTTGGAGTTTGTGAATGCCACATTCGTGGCGGAAGGAAAGATAATCCCAAGACCTCGACTCTCCAAATGCACAAGGATGGAGATCAAGCAAACCCTGGGCCGAGGCGCCAGAACCGGGAGAGGTTTTGGGAAATATTTGCAAGGAATGATCAATCCTGTCCTTCCTATCTCAAAATTAGACCAATTTGGGCTCAGTTTTCAGCCCAGTTATCATGAAAAGAGAAAGGAGATCCAAAAGAACCGGGAGAGAAGATTGGTCAGATTGACTGGAAACGAACTCCAATGGAAGCCTATGACATTCCCGCCGCTTTTCAGAACATTCAAGTCAGGTGGTTATGTGTTTGAGACCACCATATCCGAGTTAGAAACGGCTCTGGAAGATCTGAACATTAATGCCGTGACCACAGAAGATGTTGACAACGGAGATAGATCCGGGATATGCCCTCTGCCACATGGGTTCGTGCCTAGCAGATGGTCGATGGAAGAACTACATGTGGTTTACAAGAATCTTTCAGAGTAATATTCGAACTATCCCTATTTGCCTATACCCGGGGTAATAGGTGATCTTTTGTAAGGGTGAATAAACGTTTTGTTTAAATTTAATAAAAGATGCATTTTTTTCTTTTCCATGGCAAACCAATTTTTCGTTTATTTTTGAATTCATTGTCTATCTCCTTCATTCCAATACTTCATTTTCCAGTAACTCTCAAAGTTAGCTCTTGACCGTTCCGTGTGGGATATTATCCTCTCACACATGCACATTTTTCTCCTTTCAGGTTCCCAGATAACGATAATGTGGGCACTAATGATCCTGATCCGGAGGTGGATTTTGAATCAACCATTTGTCTTGGGGAATTTGATGAATGCGATAATGAAGAGGAGTACAACTTGCCTACCGAATTGTTGAGAATGATAGAAAGAGAACAAAAGCAAATACTGCCACATGAGGAGGCGATCGAAATCTTAAATTTGGGCACTGAGGAAGATCGAAATGAGGTTAAAATCGGCACAACTCTTTCGACTGAAGCAAGAAAAAACCTGATAGTCTTACTTCAGGAGTACGGAGATGTGTTCGCTTGGTCGTATCAAGACATGCCGGGACTAGACACAGATATGGTAGTTCACAAACTGCCAATCAAACCAGAATTCAAACCTGTGCAGCAAAAACTGAGAAGAATGCGACCAGAAATGCTCCTTAAGATCAAGGAA